AACTATATAATAAATATTTAAAATTCAATAATATAGTTTTAATATAGTTAAATTATTTACTAGATTTAAGTTTGTAATTTAAATTAACTTTTATTAAAGTAATATAAAAATATATGTTTCTATTAAAAGAAAAAGAAAAGAGAATTAAATTCTCTACATTGTCCATGTCATAACTTTGCTATACACATATTGATTAATTTTCTATAATTAATTAAAAATGTGATTTGTTGAAATACCCGGCCTCCCTGTGCTCTAACCATTAAGTTTGGATACAAACCATTGACACCATGTAACCGTAGAATTTTACGCTCTTTCCAATGGTGTTCTCAGATTCACTCTAGGCCTATAGTTTTTGACCTAGAGCATAATACTTAAAAGCTACCAGCCTCTTACAAATAGGTGTCTGTCCATTGGAGTATAGAAAGAGAATGAAAATATGGAAAAAGTATATTTTCAAATTATTTTTAATCAATGTAGTTTTTAAAATAACGATTTTATACGAACTTAGTTTCCAGCTCAATATCAATTATTTTTAAAACTACTAGTGTATTTTTAGTGTATGTAGTTATATACAGAGATAAGTGGTGAACGTGTTAACGTGTTTGTGATGAAGTTTCCAGGGTACCTTTTTAAGTGCAATAAATTTAAAAATATTAAATATATATAAGTATATAATTACTTTATAAAGTTAGTGTAAAGTTAGTAAGTTACAACATTTATTGCAACTAATATATCACTTATTGAAAGTTTACATGAACTCAATTTAGCGATTGTGTTGAATGAATGAGACAATGAAAGTGATGACTATATCAACGATCAGATTAGATGTTTAGCCAATGACTGTTCAAATCTCAAGAATTTTGATCTCGATATTCATTTTCAAAAGTGAAAGACTTGAATCCCAACGATATGTCACTGTTTGGGACAATCCTTACGGAAGTACTTGTGATGGCATTTGGAGTCAATATTTTTGATAAATAAATACAAAAATATTAAAAAAGTAATAACTTATGAAATGATTAATATTTGAGTATGTTACAGAAATTACTTTAAGTATTTAAATATTTGTACCTTATTTAATATTAAAACATTATTTTGATATTTTATAAAATAAAATTATTCTAAATATTTATACTAGCAATTAAAATACAATGTTAGATTAAATTAAAATGTGGGACAATTTAAAATTAATACACAAATAAATATGAAATCTCCGAAATTATCTTAAAAGTATTGACACCTAACAGGAGTTCGTGGACTTTCATATAACTCAAGTACATAATGTACCCGGTTATCAGTATATAAATGTGTAGAAGATTGTTAATTTTACTAAAGTGTTGTATATAGGAATGACATTGAAACATAAACGTTATAACTTATAGTACAAACAGATAAGTGAATTGTAAGTGCATCAAGGACAGTTTATTCTATTACAATAGTATTTAAGAAAACTTTATTAATGTTCCAGTTTCATTTTAAATTTTTTTCTTATTTGTATGTTTTATGAATTGAAATGTGTAAAAATAAATCACATGTTTAAAATGATTTTTGCAAATAAATTGTGTTTTGTATTAATCGTGTGTTTAACTGAAAGGTGTGTTTGCGATGAGAGTAATAGTGTTGTCGTGAATACGAGTTCGGGTGGAGTGAGGGGACAGACACTGAATGTTGTGAATCACTTCATCAATCAATTCTTGAATATACCTTATGCTGAGCCCCCGGTGGGCCCACGAAGGTTCAGTCCACCACAACCACTCCAGACACCTAAACAAGTGAAATATTTTCAATCTACTTTTTTCAACATTAAAATTAATTTGCTACAAATTGATAGGATATTATTGATGGCCAAAAACCAGGAAATTCTTGCATTCAAGACACAACACTGTTTGCATCGATGGGTGTAGTATTCAAGACAAGTGAAGATTGTTTAGCTCTCAATATATGGACACCATTTGTGAACAATAATAAGCAAACAAAACAAGAGTTAAAACCCGTTATGTTTTACATCCACGGGGGAGCACTTAGTATTGGATCAAGTTTTCAAGATAATCTTAATGGAGGTGTTTTGGCCACCAATGATGTGGTCATTGTTTCCGTTAACTATAGACTCGGACCCTTAGGTTTCCTATACGGTGGCGATGATACCAGTCCTGGAAATCTTGGCTTTTATGACCAGTTATTAGCTCTTAAATGGGTATTTATTATGAAAATTTATTTATTTATATTAAACTAATTTAATAATTAAATCAAAAACTAACTTCAGGTTAGAGAAAACATACATTTATTTGGTGGGGATAAGGATGAAATTACTATAATTGGTTGTAGCGCCGGTAGTTGGTCCGTATCGGCACATGTATTGTCTCCCTTATCTAAGGGTCTGTTTAAGAGGGCTATTATGGAGAGCGGATCCGTTTTGTATAATAAGGACAGACCGGCGCTCAGTACTGTTGAGAGCCTCCAAAGGGCTAAGAATTTGGCAAAAAGTCTTAATTGCGATGAATATGACTACAAATGGTTGGACTGTTTGCGAGCCATTGATGACCCAAACCTTTTCATAGAGTTTCCCATAAATGGAAATATGATTGAATTCACTCACGCAGTGTTTGGCACTCAATTCCTACCCGTTTTACCACAAAAAGCATTTAAAACTAATTTATATAATAATGGTAAGTAGCTAACATTTTATCACCCTGGTTAATTAATAATGTGTTTTTTAATAAGACATTGAGTTAATGGTTGGTGTGGCTAAAGATGAGGGACCGGTGCTAACAATGTGTCTTTTCCCCGAAATGAGAGCACCGGGACTAACGGTTCAGGTGTTTAAAGAATTAGTGAAGAGATTGAGTGATGAATATCGGAATATAGATGTGGAGGAAGTGTCCGATTATTATCTTAAAACTATTGACACAACAAATGAGTCCCAATTGAAGGGAGCGTTTAATGCACTCTATGGGGATCTGGTGATGACGTGCCCCTCCTATCACTTCGCCAAACAATTTGCCAAAAGTGGACAAAATGTTTACTTTTATAGATTGACTTACCAGAGTAATTTCTATGCGGATATGGGTTTCACAATATGTTCGGGCGATACCATATGTCACGGCGCAGAAGTCCCTTACGTTTTCGGTGCACCACTTGTGGCTCAAAATCAATTCACAGAAACTGATTATGACTTCAGTATTGAGATTATGAACAGTTTTACAGATTTTGCCAAAAATCGGTAAGATTTTTAAAAAAGCAATTTTAGGTTTAGTCAGTACACAAAAATTGAAATTCATTCATTCAATTTTGGCGCCTATAGCAAACCACACAATGTTTGGCCGAAACTAATAGACATTTCGGACGCGAATTCAGTGCCAAAAGTGAAAGACTTGAATCCCAACGATATGTCACTTGTTTTGGACAATCCTTACGGAAGTACTTGTGATGGCATTTGGAGTCAATATTTTTAAATGTTTTTAGTTTTCATAACAGAATATAATTTTTACACACAATTAAATATTAAATACAAAAATTATGTAATTACATTGATATGATACTGGTGGTGAATACAGAACCTTATTTTAATTTTAAGTCAAATTTTAAGTTAAAAATAAATAATTTTGGTTCTGGTTAATTAATGATTGAATTTAACCATCAAAGTTATATTTATAAATAATTTATTTTATTATATTATTATTATCTATAACTATAAATATTATGTATTTTCTATTTAAATGCTTTGTAACAGTCATTATGAACAAAATGGCTCTTGATAATCATAATATGAAATCACTTCATATGCCTATTCTTATGATATTTTAGACAACCTTTACGTTTAAAACTTTGATCACAACCATTGAAATCGCTAACAAATGGCTTATGATCTGAATGTACGTACAATTTGTGTCGATTTAACTCCGAGTTTGTATTCAATCTTTTGCCGCAACTTGTTTCATCACAAGTAAACATCCTTTCATTGAAATGAACACCAATTTTGTGTCGATTTAATTTGGATTTAGTGTAAAAACTTTTGCCACACTCACATTCACATTCAAATGGTTTTTCGCCCGAATGTATGATTTTGTGTTCAATTAGGCTGTGTTTTCGGACAAACATTTTGCCACAATTGTCTTCATTACATTTGAATCGCATTTCTTTCAAATGAACACTACTTTTGTGTCGATTTAGTATACATTTAGATATAAACTGTTTGCGACATTCACTCCAATCGCATACATATCTCACGTTTAAATGAACGCTATTTTTATGTACATTTAGATTTCCGATTAATGTGTAAACTTTATAACAATTTAGAAAATCACATTTAAACGTTTTGGGTTTTGATAGATGTTCAGGTAATTTACTTTTATATAATCTTTTGTAGCGATAAGTGTTGAGTGTATTAATGGTGTTGTGATTGGAAAGCATTTTATCACTTATTTTACATGAATTCAAATCAATTGAATTGCAATTCATTGACAAATTCACTGCATTTTCGCATTCAATCCCTTCACACAAAACACTTGCATTTTGTGACAAAAAACTCTGCATTTCATGTAAACTTTGACACAAATCCCGAAATTCACACAAATTAGACAATAAACACTTCATTTCAAACAATTGCGAATACATTATAATGTAAAAATAAAATTTACTTTATGTTTAGCAAATTGCAGACAAAAAAGAATTTGAATTCAAAACCGTTTTAAAGTCCATTCCCATGAACAGGTATATTCTTTATCCCATTCTAACCCAGATATCTGGGACAACCTATGCAAGTTCTAAGTACTCCCTTTGAACAGGGTTATTAATAATTCAAATGTACATTGATAAGCAAATATTGAACACTGTAATTTAGTGCTACATTGAATTTCAGATTATATTATTTTATTTTAATATTAACCATATTTCTTAAAAATAGGCAATCATTTTATGTTTAATGATTTCCTTAAAATCTAAACATAATCACAGGAAATATGTGCTCCAAATGCCATCACATGTGCGGTGAAAGGGATCACTCAATACGAGTGTCATATTTGTCGGGTCCAGACCTTTCACAAGGGGAACGCCATCCACGCCATCGTTATTCAGTAATTGT